TCCCTCTCCCTCTCCCTCTCCCTCTCCCTCTCCCTCTCCCCTCCTCTCCTTTTTATTACCCAGGCGTTTAAATGTATCGATCACCCACTTGTACTTATTTAATTCATTTTCTTACTTATTTACGCATTTATTTATTTATCACAGAATCATTAAGGTAGGAAAAGACCTCCGAGGTCACCGAGTCCAACCTGTGACCCAACACCAGCCTGTGACCCAGAGCAGACCAGTGTCACATCCACTCTTCCCTTAAACACCTGCAGGGATGGTGACACCACCTCCCTGCACAGCCCCTTCTGATGTTTGATCACCCCTTTCTGTGAAGGAACCCCTCCTGATGTCCATCCTAAACCTCCCCTTAAGCACAGCTTAGGTTTATTGTTATTATTTATTGCTTACTTTTGGTTATTTCTTTATTGCCTGCTTGCTTACCTCTATTTATTTTCAGAGTCACTTGTTGAAGAGTGAAGGTTAAAAGTTATTGGAAGTGGCAAGATTCTTGGGGAGAGGAGGGAGGATGAGCTCTTGAAGAATCAAGATGCAAAAGCAGAATCTCAGTGAACTACAGACACCCCAGTGTTTATTAACTCCAGACTGAAACTTTTTCTCTTTTCTGCTGCACTTCTTGCACCTGGATTTCTCGTTTTTTTTCTGAGCCGAGCTCTTTTGGAATACTCTCTCACGGGGAGTTCTGTTTATCTCAGTTCTCTGGGTCAGGAAGAAAACTCTAAATCTCCTTAGGATCTTGTTTCTCATGTTTATCTGGATGTTACTACAAAACTTGGCAGGCTTTTCTAGACTTTTTGCACAAGTTTAATTCATTTTGCCTTTTGGATCACTTTGGCTGTGAAGGGACAAAATGGCTTCAAACTGTGCAGTTCTTTTATTTTTATATTTATTTGTATCTAATTAACAACAGACACGTATATTATTTTTCTTAATGACTCAATGACCCATCACTTGTGTGCTGCACTGCGGTATTTTCTATCTAATCACTCATTATTACTCAAAAACTTCTAGAAGAAGAAAATGAAGAAGAAAGAAGAAGGAAAAGAGACAACACTTTAAATTCTCTATCTTGTCTTCTATTTTTTAAACTAGTTTAACTCTTTCACCTAGCGACCTAAGAAAACTTTCTAATTTACACACTCACACATTAAGCTCTTTTAATTAAATTTAACAATTGTTTTCATGTAACACCATGAAAACATGCCTATAAATTTCACCTTCTATGAAATTCAGTGTTCTCCTGGATCTCAGAGACAAGGCATCAGAGACAAGGGCACACATTTTGTGTTTCAGACTCCGACACAGACCGAGGGGTGGGCATCTCTCCCCACACTCTAAGCCTGTTCCTTGAGCCTCTTGAGCAGCTCCCTCAGCTGCTCGATCTGGGCGGACACGCTGCTCTTGGCGGTGCCGCCCGCGGCCGTGTACTGCTCCACGCTGCTCACCACGCTGAACACCTGCGCCACGTCGCTGCCAAACAGGGGGCTGGGGGCACAGCGGGGCTGTCAGGGGGCTCTGGGCTCTGCACAGGGCTTTTGGGCACTTTGAAATAACAGAGAAACAAACCTGATGTTCTGCAGCTCCTCCAGGCTGAGGTTGTTGATGGTGATGCCTTTGGTCTCGGCCAGCTGGACGGCTTTGCCCGAGGCCACGTGGGCTTGTCTGAAGGGCATCTGCAGGGGGAAGGGGACAGGGCAGAGGGGACTCAGCTCAGTTCCTCTGCACCCAAAGGAATCCCAGCTCCAGCTCTCCCTCTGGCACTTACTCCCTTCCGAACCAGGTAGAGAGCCAGGTCAGTGGCCAACATCTCCGGGCTCAGCGCCCTCTCCATGTTCTCCTTGCTGATCTGCAGGAGGAGGATCCCAGGGACACGTTACCATCAGCTCCTCCTTGGGGAGGGGTCAAGGTGAGGGGAATTCATCTGGAGCTCCAAAACAATGCTCTGGCCCCCTGAGCAGCTGGCAGAGGGGACCAAAGTGAGGGCTGTGGGTGAGGCACTCAGGTTTTGGTTTGGGAGCAATCTGGAGCTCTGCTCTCTGTGCTACTCACAGAATATGCACAATGGTGATGCTGAAGAGTGAGAAGATGAGAAGAATCCTTACCTGGAGGGTGGAAATCACTCCAGTGGCAACCTGCAGCACAGCATTCAGGGTGTCTACGACATCAAAGACGGCCTCCTTGTCCTCCTGCGTTGGAACAGTGATGGAAATGGCTCTGAGTACAGCCCAAAAACCCCCCAGGCCGAGCAGCCCAGCTCTCCTGACTCCTCCAGCCAGCAGGAGAGAGGCTGTGGAGAGGAACAAGTGCTTTACCTGCAGGTCCTTGTTGTAGGTGCTGGGGAGTCCTTTGAGGACCATGAGAACTGCAGCCAGCTGCAGAGGGAAGCAGGACAGGCACGGAGTGAGGCACAGAGCAAAGCACAGCCCCAGGGCAGGCTCAGAGCACACAGCCCTTCACAAAGGACAAGGAAAAGGAGATTCTCCAGCCCCAATAGGAGCAGTTTCCTCTCCCTCTTCCTCCTCGCTGGGGCTCACCCGGCCGAACACTCGCCCGGCTTTGCTGCGGATCAGCTCCAGACTGTCGGGATTCTTCTTCTGAGGCATCAGGCTGCTGCCAGTGCTGGGTGGGAGATGAGTGGAGTGCACTGGTGAGCAAAACCCTCACCCACACACCACACACATCATCACTGACCCATCCCTCCAAAAGCAACGTGCAGGACCCTCTTCACCGTACTCCTGTTTAGGAAATCAGTGAACTCACTGAGCTGCTCTTTGATTTTGCACTGCACACAGTCCCACCTCTCACAGAGAGACTTAAAAGGGGGCTCCCCCCTCCAGGCTCCCCCGGGTGGTATCAGCAGAATAAGAGTTAGTGTGGTCTCAGGGAGGGAGGGCTGTGTTTGTGGCACCCCATTGTGATTGCAAACCCAGGCAAGGAAGGGCTCTGGCAGCGTTCCCAGCACAGGAGGAAGCTCTCTCTGGCCAGAGCTGAGACCTACCTGTAGGCATCAGAGAGGGTGAGGAAGCCGAACTCGCTGGTGCTGTAGATGATGAGAAACTCGCTGGTGCTGTAGATGATGAGATCCTCAGCCATCTTGCTGAGGTGGATCATCAGCAGGGTGGCAACTGACAGGAATTCCACTGCAGGCAAGGCAGGAGATCAGGAGGGGGAAAAGGTGCTGGGACAACCCAGGGAACCCTGAGTGATGGATTCCAGCCCCTTACTAAGTTATCTGGAAAGGTGTCAGGTTCCCCCAGTGCTGGGAGGCTTTGGCTGTGCTTACCCACAAAGTCCCTCTCGCTGACAGCATCCATGCTGTTCAGGCTGATGGAAGCAAAGTCCAGCTCTGCAGGGAAGGGGATGGACACAGGAGGTCACACTGGCCCTGACAGCAGCCTGAATGCACCAGGCTGCCCCAGGGGAGGTGACTTGATATCTATTCATTATCCTCCACCCTCTTGTTAAAGTGCTGCAGCACATCCAAAATAACAGCAGGACAATCTGCTGATGCTTCCCAAAATCCCAGATATTGTGAGCAGTCCTGTTCCTCAGTCCCAGGGAGACATTTACCACTGCACAGCAGCTCTCTGTCGATTCCCAGGGCGTTTCCAGCCAGAGCTCCACTGCCAGGGGAGAAAGAACCAGAAGTCACCTCTGATATCCAAACTGATACCTGACAAAGACTGAGCTCTAGTGATGTCACCTCTCTGAACATTTCCCTCCCCCAGTTCATTTTGATATCACAGTGTGGTCTGAGGCTCATCAAACCCTGAACTCGACTAAACCAGATTTTCTCTCCCAAACAGGAAGGGATGCTTAATGGAAGCCTTGTAATCCTTGACTTCAAGAAGGAAGAGAAAAATATTTCTGTGGTGAGAGTCTTTGGAGAGGGAAGCTGGGCTGCAGTGTCTATGGAATACAAAGCCCAGTGGCTCAGGGGATGGACAGATCTGTCTCTTGTCTTTATCTCAGAGCCAAGTGAGGGCTGAGGATCACAATATAAAACACACTTTACCTTCCCAAAGGCAAGACATTGATCCTCCTCTTCACCTCTCCCAGGCGCTCAGAATCGCGGGTCAGAGCAACAGCATGGCTGGGGAGGGACAGGAGAGATGAAACATGGAGATGAAGCTGGAAAATATCCCACTCCAGGAGGTGAGAATGGCCAAAGGATGGAGGACAGGGCGTTTCCCAATCCATGCTTGGATTCCCAGCTGGCCAGAGCCACACAGGTAATTCCTGTTGCAGTTTGCAGGGCTCCCTCTGGTTTGTCACCACCACCCCTGGCTGTCCCCTCAGCACAGCAGGGCCCCGAGGGTGCAGAGGGTGGGAGGTGCTCACCTGAGCAAGAACTGGCTCCATCGGATGGGCTGAGCTTTCTGCAGGTGGGTGTAGCCAGGCAGGATCACATCGATTTCTCTGGGAGGAAAAGGAGGACAAACCCAGGATCTCCTCCCCAAAAAGGCCAAAGTCACGGAAAACAGGGACTGTGGGAAAGGACTCACATGGCAGCACGTTCCACCAGGGTCTCAATGAGCTGCAGGAGGTGTGTGGAGATGATGGAGAGGGAATTCTTCAGGAACAGCTTCAGGTCAGTCACAACCTGTGGGAGATTGGACACAGCCAGACCAAGCACAATGGGACAGAATCAGCGACCAAATATTGCTCAGCAGAACCCCCAGGCACTGTTATCCACTCCTGGCTCTGTGTGAAGGGAAATCTCATATGGGATGAATCCCTGGTCACTGATTTGTGAAAGCTGCTGTTGCTTTCCATGGACAGAAACAAAATCTGTTATTTTATATTTTTATATTTTTCATATTGTCAGATATTGTCAAATTTGTAGCAGAAATTTCCCAACAAACACAAGCTGATCACCCTGAGGAGGACTGAGCCTGAAAGATGTGTGTAACCAGCCAGCAAAGTCAGGGGTCCTGGGGGTTTTCAGAGATGTCAGTGGAATTTTGTGGCCTTTTACCACCAGGATGCAGCCCTGCAGATCCCACTCCCCTGGGAGGATGAGTCACTGCAGCATCATTAGTTTGAAGCCATCATTAATTTAAAGGGAATACAGGCTGGAGTGTGTCAGGGCATGAGAGAGAAGGCATAAAAATATTCAATTAAAGAACTGAGGTGGAGGAATAGAGAAGGAGAAAAAAAAGCTCAGTCCATACCTGATCATTCCTGCTTCTGCCAGTGTGCAGCTTCCCAGCTACGTCTCCAATCAGCTCCTGAGGACAAGAGCAGGACTTGTGTCAGCATCTCTGTGCTCTGAGCAGGACAGTGCACATCAGCACATCTCCCTGCCTGGGAGGGACTCAGCTCCAGGATCCTGTGAGGAACCACACCACGTGTGCTGGGGAAGGGCAGCTTTGGGCTCTGTGCTTGTGCAGCCCCAAAAGGGGGTGTGGAGACCCTTGGCCGTGCCCCAGCGGGGTCAGTGCCAGCAGCTCGGAAGGGATTTCACAGAGGGACACAGGGACAGCCTTTCCTGTCAGGCAGAGGATCAGGAACAAGAGGCTGGAGGAGCCAAACCTTCAGCCTGCGCTCGTTGGCAGTGTGGATATCCTCATCAGTCTGGATCACACCAAAGACTCCTTTGGACCATTCCTCAGAGATCTGCAAGCAGCAGAAACAGCAGTCAACAAGAGTTATTCAATCCAGGGAGGCTGGTCAGGAGCCATTCATTCACCTGACAGTTTTTGAAGGGAAGAAATACCTTTTCCAGGCCACCCAGGATTTTCTCCAGCTCAGTTTTAGATAGGATTCCAGACTTCTCCAAGGCTTTGGCATAAGCCCTGCTCCCCTGGATATCCACCTCAGCCAGCCTCTGGTCGTAGCTAATGGAAGCATTGAGCATCTCCATGATTGGATCTGTGCTTCCACTGAATCTTCCACCCCAAAGTTTATTCCCCTGAGAGAGAAAATAGCAAATTAAAGAGTCCTAATGAGTTCAGACAAATCCTGTGCACTCAATAACATCCAGGGATCCATTTATCTGATACAGAGGCCATGCTCAGCTCCTTTCAGTGTGACAGCACTGACCAGAAAGTCCCCTGGACTCCAGGACCTCTGGCAAGTGGTTGAAGAGCTGGAGAACACATCAATGTCAGAGTTATTTACCCCTGAGCTCAGAGGTCTGGCCCAGGAGCCCTGCAAGATATTTTATGTCTGCAGGACTCTGCTGGGAGTCCTTGAAATTACTGTCAGGGAAAGATGCAAGACCAGCACAGATTTCTGTTTTTAGGCCTCGTAAAGGGAGGAAAAACTAAGCAGTCAGTAGGATTAGACTGACATTAATATCCCCTAAATCCTTTTTGTGCTGTTTAACTAACAGATTCTCTGACTGATGAAGAGCTGTGGGCCAGCACAGCAGCACAAGTGGGGGTTTTCCCACCCAGACCAGGATTCCCGTGGTGACCTCAGCCCCTGGAATGTGTCACCCACTTCAGAGGGTGACCAAGGGCTTGTGCAGGGCTCCAGCTGTGCCCCACAGCAGGGCAGGTGTTGTGTGGGAGCCTCTCCAGCAGTGATTCAGAGCCTGGGTGGCCTCACCTGAGCTGTGTCACCTGCCCAGAAGCTTTTTTGCATGCCCAGGTTGGACAGCACAAGAAGTTTTAATTCTGCCAGGCTTGCAGTGCAGTGGGTGAGAATTTTACTTGGGCAGAGACAATTTATCCAAGATTTCAAAAGCAACTCTGCAGTGCTACCAGTGCACAAAAAGGGATTGGAGGACACCTGAAGGAAGGGATTAAATACAGCTGCATTGCAGAGTGGACAATTACTGATCTACTTGATTTTTTAAACACCACTAGCAAGTTTCTTCTCATGCTGGTCACTATACCATGGCCAGAGCTGGCAGGACAGCTGGAAGCTGATCTGTGCCAGGGTTTCACTAGCCAGACAAAACATGGTTGAGTAACCTAAAAAATGTTTTCCCTGGTGACTGTTTCCATGTCCCTGTGCCTGAAAGGACAAGAGGAGAGAGCCTGCAGAGGTGAGGGTGTAGCCATGTCTGAAAACTGGCTTTGTCAGAAAGCTGAGGGAAGGCAGAGAGAGGAATCAGAAATGAAAATGAAATGTTAGAGATCCTCAGCAACCACTTGGTGCCCCAAGGAGAAAAAATGAATGCTAAATTAAAGGCCATTCCAGGGGCTCAGCACTTAAGTGGAGACCAGGAATATCCAGGTGTAACTTCGGCATTTAAAGCTTCCCATCAAAGCAAGGAGTGTGTCAGCAGAAAACATTGCAACAGACACATTTACAGCCGGGAAACCAAAGCTGGGGGGTTCATTTCGGGCACCTCCAGGACTCTTTGGAGCAGCCTGGAACTCGCAGGGCACAAAGCCAGCTGGCCAGGATGGCTGGCCAGGCCTGGGCAGGGAAGGGAACTGCAAGAGCCGCTTTTGTGCCGAGCGGTGTTTGCACAAGCTGCGGGAAGTGCCAGAGCACGAGGAGGATCGGCCTTGCCCGGGGGGCTCCGGGACAGCCCCGCTCGGCCGAGCAGCCCCGGGAAGCCAAGTTCGCTCACCTCGGCTGCTGCCATCGCTCCCCGGCGGGCACAGACCGGGCCCGATCCACTCCCGGCTCCGACCCCAGCTCCGATCCCGGGCCCGCCTCCGATCCTGCTCACGGTCACGATCCCAGCTCCCGATACCAGCTCCAAACTCGGTCCCAATCCCAGCTCTGGTTCCGATTCCAGCTGTGTCCCGGTCCTGATTCCAGCTCCAATCCCAATCCCAATCCCAGCTCCACTCCAGTCCCAGTTCCGCTCCCGGTGCCGGTCCCAGCTGCAGTCCCGGTGCCGCTCCCAGTCCTGGTCCCGATCTCAGCCCGGTCCCGCTCCCATCCCGGTTCCGATCTCACCCCGGTCCCGCTCCCAGCTCGGTTCCGATCTCAGCCCGGTCCC